ATAATTGAATCTCAGTCGACACGGTGTCATCGCGAGATACTATCAACCTCACAACTTCTTTTTGTCACACCCAAAATTGTATTATCCTCAAAACTTGCTCAGAGTCACCCCTTCACCTCGGTGAATGTACGTAATTAAGTTTCAGCCTAACGAACTAACGCGTTGGCATTGACCCGTCAACAGGAAGCGTTACCCGGCGTTACGAAATTAGGGGACGGGTGGTGGGTTGGGGGCTTGGCAAACCCCTCGGGGTATAGAGAATACTCCGTGGTGTTGATTCGCAGAGAAAGCATGCTATTATCGAGGTGAAAGGTTATTATTGTTGACAAATAATTTCTTAAGGGGTCAGGAATTACGTTTGGGGGTGGGTGACATGCCAGGTAGGCTGGGAGAACCCTAATTAGTCGTGGTGGGTGAGGAAATATTGTCACAAGGGCTCGCTGTTCATTGAGTCTGTCAGCGATGAGGTATCCGTGAGTCAGAATGTACATGCTTATCTCCTTAATTGAAAATGCCAAAACACGATCCTGGTCATTGACTTTGAAAAGATGACGTTAAGATGTTTGTTCTCTGTCGTTGACTGTGGAAAAACAAATTAACACTTTTTTAAACATGTTTACAAGATAAGCTCTTTGTTCTGCGGAAACCTAAACATACATGCTTTGTACACGACTATGAAACAAAGTACGAAGATGAACTTGATCTTTAACATATGTGTATTTTGTCGATTCACTCTGACAAAGCGGACGTCCGCATAATAAATTTTCTTTTCATATTCAAATTTTTGTAATTTATGTTTTCAAATTGTTGGACACGCAAAAAAGAATTAATCTAAATATATAGTAGGGATACTGAATCACTACGTTTTTACACCCGTATTTTGTCGATTCACTTTGACAAAGCGGACGTGCACGTAATAAATTTACTTTTATTATTCTAATTTTTTTAATTTATGTTTTCAAATTGTTGGACACGCAACAAAGGATTAATCTGAATATATATTAGTGATACACAATCACTACGTTTTTACTACTAAAAGTTAATATTTGCTTCCATATTTCAAAAAACCAATTCAATACCAAATTTAATGATTGTAATAATTTATAAAAATAATTTTTATGTTAATGTACATGGAAATGAGCTATGGTCATTCATATGCTAAAATAGTTAATTAGTTGTATTCATAATTCACCATGCTACCTTTAGCACAGGTATATGTACAATACTAATTATGTTATATTGATCCCTTGCATATTATGGACGTGAACATGCCAAGTGTATAAAAATATGTTTTGAAATGATTGGAATTGTTTGGCATAGGCATGGTCTGCTGATTGACAATTGAGAACAGTTGCTGTTTTTGCACTGAATGTCGTGTTGATTTGCACTACATGTTGTGTCTGGAATATATTGATCTACAGAATAGTGAGTGAGTGAGTGAGTGAGTGAGTGGGTGAGTGAGTGAGTTTAAGCTACATTCAACAGTATTGTGAGAGTGAGTGAGTGGATGGATGGGTGGGTGGGTGGGTGGGTGAGTGGACACCTACACCCCTATCCCCACTTTTAGCGTGTCAGGTTCTACTAAGAACAGAATTTCATGTAGTTGAATGCCAGAAGCAATACCGAGGGCAAAGGAAAACTAAGAAGCTTCACCAATGCCAATTAAGACCGCAATCATCTGATCCACGCGCACTCAAGGGGCGCAACTCTTCGTCGGTTAATTTCGAACTTTTAGATGACTATTCCAACGTAAACCCACCCGTGAAGGTCCGGGTTAGAATGAACCTTCAGTAACCCATGCTTGTCTCCACCCGTGAAGGTCCGGGTTAGAATGAACCTTCAGTAACCCATGCTTGTCGTTAGAGGCCTTCAGTAACCCATGGGATCAGTGAAGGTCCGGACTAGAATGAACCTTCAGTAACACATGTCATCGTATCCCATTTGCGTAGATCAACGCTCATGCTGTTGATCACTGGATTGTCTGGTCCAGACTCGATTATTTACAGACTGCCGCCATATAGCTGGAATATTGCTGCGTGCGGCGTAAAACTAAACTCACTCACTCACTCCAACGTGAACCGTTGAGCCGGTAGACAGTTTCCAGTAAATAAAGAATTACGCCTACAGGAACGTCGTTACCCCCACCGGCATCACGTCACTATTGATATGTGACATACAGTTGTGATCGGCAGAGTACAATCATATACTCATGCCAATAATGGTTGTCACCCCCTCCCCCCCATCCCTCTCCAATTAAAAAAATTGGGATGACAACCATTATTGGCATGAGTATATTATTAGCTGTCACATCAACGGTTAAGACATGACAACGCCTTAAATATTGGCTGTAAACATCAAAACTAACATGTTGTGACATCACATCCAGATTATCACTGTTCTGCAACAACGGAGAGACCAATACGCCGCGCTCTCAGCGTTCAGTTCGCACATGCTCCTGTTCATATAGGCATATATTGAATACTTTTAATAGCCAACTAACAACGGCTGCGTCATGCTACGATACACGAGCAATTAATTTTTTATTTTTTTTATAATCGACATATGCAAGTTGCACAAGTCATGTTCAAACCTAGCATTCCACTGACTTCACGTTAACATAGGCGTTTCCGTGTGTGCGTATGTGGAACGACGACAGAAAAGGTAGTTGCAAGAAATGGTCAATTATTTTAAGATGCATTTAAGATTGTTGGAAAGGGCTTGTGCATGACTGTCGCTGTTATGTACGTTTCACAGATACTTTTATGGTAAATAGGTGTGACACATGTCCCTGTATACGGAGAAGAAGTAACAAAATGTGCTGGTGGCGGAGAGTGGTTGGATGGGTGGTTGTGTTCGTAAGCAGAGACTTTGGGTCTGGGGCTTTTGTTCTACCCCAAACTATCGATATCTCCCCTGTCGTGACGTAACTCGAATTTTAAAGAGGCGTAAAACTAGATTTTATTATTCATTTGAAGGAGTACTTGTTAAAGTTGTTTAAAATCAAACCCCCTCACTCATAGAATACAGGCTTTGTCTGCAAACATATCAGTGTAATAAAATCCCTCTACTACACATGTCGCCATCCAAACAGACTACACATGCCACAATCAACTACTTCATCACCGGACCTCCTACAAAGTAAACGTTTTTACCCCCGTCTAATACCTCCATGGCTAGTAGCCCAGGTGTGTAAGATAAGAATAGATTTTCAAACTCATTACGCTTCTCGTAACACAAGCAAACTTGCCATTGTCTCTTTGTTACCTTGACAAACACACACATCCCGGAATCTCGAAATGTACATGGGTGGTAAATTGCACTTGAAATCTACATTTGTAGGCCCGGACAAAACGTCAATGTTAATGAACCATGAAATTAACAGACGATGCTCTCAATGATCCTCTGAGTCCTTTACGCAAGGGATTTGACATAAGGTTTCATTTTCTTACTTAGGGGTATGAAATACAAGGTAAATATTTCTGATTGTTTTGAGTGGGCGGGGTATTGTATTGTCATTGACCTTGGTGACAGGTGTAATTGACTGTTAAGTGAAATCGACATGCATGTCGATTTCAAAGTCGCCTCGAGGGATGATGGATGCTTTGTCCGACTTTTAAGGTTATATTCGTTTGTGAAAGTGTTCGTTTGTATTGCATAAGAATAAAACTCGGATTGAAAGTTGTCATTAAAAAGTTGTAACTTACCAGCGAAAAGGCCAAAATAACTTAACCAACCATACGACGGCGTTAACTAATCTGTTCATTATCATTTTTAATGTTTATCCCTATGTTCATTATTATTTATCGTTATAATCATATTCACTATTTTCATCTATATCGCTATACGTTATGTCCACATCGACATATTTGGATCCATTTTAATCGCAATATAGTCGCCGATGCGACGTTAATGTTTAAAACTCACTGTTTATCTATACATGAAAATCCGGTTATCTATATCGCTGTGCTTTTGTCAACTTCACGACTTTTTATCTTTTAGTATTTTAATCGCACTTGTCTAACCCCTCTTGTTTCAAGACGAAACCAATGTTGAACAATCCTTCCTAAAAAGTTTGTAAAAACTAGAAAATACAGGTCCTAAACAATATGCTTACCGATCTGAAGCGTCAATTTGATTTTCATTACTAATAACAAACCAGGTCAATATATTGTTAAATCGCTGTTAGATATGATTGTGTACTTAATGACTGAAAAGTCGTCAAAGTCATTTTAAATTAAAATTAAATGATTGACATTAACGTCAGAAACACAAATTTAAGCGGAAAGAATGGATCTTTGAGTTGAACAAATTTGTTGTTCCCTTGCCTGTAAATATAATACGCGATTGATGTTTCCTAGGAAAGTAGCTAAACATGCATCGAAAACACAGCGGCAAGCAGAACCCTGCCACCGAGTCGGGCAATGTGTGCGGATCATGCATTTCTAAAGGTGGAATATGTTTTTTATAAACATTTTAATTTTCTTCTGATTCACAGTGAAATTAGTCAGAGATATGACCCTGGGTTAAAGTCACGCTTTAATTTACGGCAAATATTGTGTTGAAATGTTTTGTCGGTAGGTCCTATCTGCACGATTAACGTCCCTTTCCTTAGCTAATGGAACAATCCCTAAGTTCAGTCTGAAGCTATCGCTGCGATAGGTACGCAGAACAATCTGTCCCTTCAAGCTTGTCTGTTGTATTCGCCATTTACGAGTGTATTGTCGTAGAGCGGTTACTTCCCTTTGTAACTTCAACTCTTAAACTCTTTCATTTGAAAATGTTCTGAAGCGTTTGGTTCTGTAAAATCGACATTTCTGAATAATTCTACCTTTTGTTATATAACCTAAAATATCATCAACGTTTTTGCAAGAAAATCATAAACGTTGAAATCACGTTAAAGTACGACAATACCCAGGTCCCGAAGCGTTGATCCGTGAAAGCCCCGCCTCGTTTTCACCATATGAATCTGATTGGCTGGAGAAGTAATCACGTGGGTTCTATTTTCGCTGCTGGCTGTTTGCAGACGTGAAAGCTGCAATGAGCTACTGTTAGTTATCACCCTCAGCTGGTTTGCCCGAGGGTAAGGATTTTATGCCTCGGTGACTCGGGTGGGTGATTTTGAATGGCAGACATATCACGGTAGGAGTATAGGTGAGGCTGAGAGCTGTGACAGTTTAGTCAAGGAAGCTAGCGAGCGAACCACACCAACTCGCCGCTCGTGGATTTAACACGGGACTGTTAAGCGTGTTCTCAAAAGTGGACAGTGCACTGATAAACTGGATATTCATTGGATATACATTTATTGTTGGTAAGTATTTTAGAATCAAATGTCATTATTATCTCCGACCTTTACAGAAATCAAACCTTATCACCCGTTGAAGTTAAATTACACCCGCTTAGGACGACAGTAGTTCTTAATACTAACGTTTTTTTTATTTCTTGAAGTTTGGTGATATTTTAAAATGATTTGTTCACAGGGGCTTGTAACGCTAAAAACTGCCATCAAGGTATATACTGTCACTGACGGGGTCTTAGTACTATATAAAGACCTAAGACCCCGTCAGTGACAGTATATACCTTGATGGCAGTTTTTAGCGTTACAAGCATCTGTGGATTTGTTGTCTGTTAAATTATAATATGTGGCCTATAACATATATGTATGTTCCATATACATGCATTTGTCATTGAAACCGCCATGCACGTGTGTCGTGGGCACAAACTGCGATAACCCTCTGAACAGCCAAACTTACATGAATTTAATATAAAATGTAATTTCGGGTGGGATAAAATAGTGTCAAGTTTCAAAGAAGAGTGTCACATAAAAGACAACCATGTCTCTATCACAGCATCACATATAGGCCTCTGTGACACGTCTCCGTGACAGCGTAGTGACAGTTACATCCGACTGTATGTATTAGGTAACAGCAGCATTCACCGGTTGCCACAGTGTTGAATGGACCCACGCTAACCCAGCCAGTAGGCTTGCCTTGTCATTAGCATACATACAATGCTTATAGCACCAACGTGTTACATTTCCCCTATCTTAAACCACGGGGATCAGGCGTCGATTTCTCGTGGAAGGTGAATGTGGGTTGCTGATTGCGTTTGTATTTCAGTCGATCAATATGTTCACAGGTGGTAGTAGTCGAGCTACCAGGGCTGTCGTTGTTAGAAATCGTAGAATAACTCGGACATTTTGTAAATAGATATTTGAAAGGAAATCCCAACAGTATGCGAGTCATGTGATATGGACGCTGATTTAAAGGTCACATGCAACCAAAAAATCAAACATAATTCTGTGAATCATGAATTCCATTTGTAAATCAGATTCACTAGAATTGAATATTTTTTATATTTTTTTATGAAAGTGTGTTTTGTACTTGAACTTAACGATTTCAGTTGTATCATGGTAGTGTCTAAATATGCGGGAAGCCCAGAATTATAAAGGTTGAAAACTTAACACTTTTAAGTGGAATTTGCAGGTTTGGTGGTGAGAAACCGCAAAACATCAAACATGGGATTCGAACCTACAGTCAGTTTATTCTGGATGCTGGGACACCACAAAATATCTATTACAAACCGTGTAACAATACATCACACGACGTAGAAATTTGGATTAATATGTGTATGACTTTCCGTGCATCATTTGTCAATGTAGGTGGACAGAGAAAGATTTCTGTACGCGATGATCTTTCCATGTATGGGCAGTGGGGTAGCCTAGTGGTTAAAGCGTTCGCTCGTCACGCCGAAGACCCGGGTTGGATTCCCTACATGGGTACAAATTGTTAAGACCATTTCTGTGTCCCCGCCGTGATATTGCTGGAATGTTGCTGCAAGCGGCGTAATACCAAACTCACTCACTCACTTTACATGTTTGGGGTTGAACCTTAAAACGTTGATTCACGGGCTTCCAAAGGGAAACACAATTCGCGCCAGAGCGTGTGTGCTTATTAATTCAGAAGCTGTCAGCTATAAATGTCTCGCTGAACTCACCTCTGGGTCTGTAGTGTCACTCAAACAAGTCATATGGGACGTGGTTTAACTGGTTAATTGGTGGCTCGATATATCAGGGTCTGTCGTAATATATCGGGCGTTTTATGGCAATATAAACAGTATTCGTCTCTTAAATTGACTTAAGTGTGTTTGGATTACCAGAATGTGGTTGAATATGAAACCTATTTCTGTTAAATGTGTGAAACCTGAAACCTATTGCTCTTGAATGTGAATCCTATTGCTCTTGAATGTGACACCTTTTGCTGTTAAATATGAAACATATTGCTGTTAAATGTGAAACATTTTGCCCTTGAATGTGAAACTCGTTGCCGTTTTGTGTGAAACCTATTGCCGTTTAATGTGAAACATATTGCTCTTGAATGTGAAACCTATTCCTGATGTGTATGAAACGTAGAGTTGAGTATGAAACATTATATTGTTGGCTATGTAACGTTAGTTTATAACGGGAAGTTCTTCATAACTGTATCTCATCTTAAACCGTCGAGTCAGATCGATGCTCACAACATCAATCACCGGTTCTGAGACTGGCCTCTTGGAATAGCTGTAGCATCGTGGTTCAACCGAAAGCAGTACTTCATGCACTCTTGTATTTGTACCTGTGCAATTCATAACGCTCCGGTGGGGTAGCCTAGTGGTTAAAGCGTTCGCTCGTCACGCCGAACACCCGGGTTCGATTCCCCACATGGGTACAATGCCTGACGCCCATTTCAGATGCCGGTCTTGATATTGCTGGAATATTGCTAAAAGCGACGTAAAGGCACACTCACTAACACATTCAATTTGGCTCTGTTTATGACATCGTCAGAGCGAGTGAGTGAGTTCAGTTTTACGCCGCTTTTAACAATATTCAGCTATATCAGTGAATGAAATGGGCTTCACACATAGTACCCACATCTTCAGAGAGGATGCCGGAATGGTAGATAGTAGATACCTTTTTGTATCCCTCGTAGAAGGGTAAACGGCAATTTGCGTACGCGCCATCCCAATTTGTAATCAATTTGTGAACTAAGAGTTAAAATGGGGCATGACTCACTTTTAATACATACACACAGCATGGGGCGATTCCCGTTAACTGGTGACAGGTCATTTCAGGTTGCAATGAACAAGTGTCTATTTCAATCTTAGCGCTGTATGAACCACTGACGATGTGGCGTCACAGAATACAGAATATATAAATAACGTTGTAAGAAGGTTGTAATGTAAGCTACATGTGTAAGACTCTCTGGGAACAGGAAAGGTTTCAGTTGTTGGTAAGGCAGTGGCCGTGCTGGTTGTATAACAACATGCTGTGTTGGAGGTAATTGTCTACAGGGGTCCTCCTTGTAGGTGATTAGATAAGACGTGCGTAGTGACTGTGCTAAATCTCAATGGGTGAGTGAGTGAGTTTAGTTTTACGCCGCTTTTAGCACTATTCCAGCAATATCACGGCGGGGGACACCAGAAATGGGCTTCACACATTGTTCCCATGTGGGAATCGAACCCGGGTGATCGGCATGACGAGCGAACGCTTTAACCACTAGGCTACCCCACCGCCCCACTCTTATTGAAACTATGTGATCTGTTAGTCTCTTTTCGTTCAGTATTCTGTTCTGTTCTGTTAGTACACTGTTCTGTTCATCTGGATACACTGTTCTGGTTCAGTTAGAGTAATGTTCTGTGTGTTTATTCATATTGTCATGTGATCTATACTATTTGTTATGAGCCATTCTCTGTTGTTGGGCTCTCTATTCATCCATGCTCTGCAATGTTCTTGGTTCAGTATGCATAAAAATTAATGAACCGAATAGGGCTACACCTCTCTCGTTATAACGCCTATACGTTGTCGCTAGAGTGTTGAGACATGCCACAACACAACTTTCACCAAGGGTAAGGTCTCCATGATATCCAACTAAAATTGCTTCAGTAATCCTTTACGTATTTCAGAATACGTAACCGCGCCTAATAACGAGGCTACAACGTATATATCAGCACAGTACTTGTCTTGTTCAAGTAGCATCATAAACATAAGTAAAATAAAGAAGCGTTCTCTGTATCACTCCTTTGTTAGCTCACCTGAATTTCTGACATTATCCTTTTGGACATGCTAGGTTACTTTGCTTTATTTCGTTTGAGCATACGGTTGTCTATAAGACAAACTATTGATGTAACAGAAATTATTTAACTATCCAAAACGGCCTCTTCATCAGATGGAGAAGTAGATAAAGACGCTCAATGTTTACATCGTTAACTTCAAAGAATATTTACCTGACTTATTAATGTATCATGCGATGTGTAAAAACCTCAAGAAATTGTGAGATTTTCCGCCCATTCTTCATCAGTGACAGGTTGATGAATTACTTAAAGAGTCTATCACTTAATTAAGATTTACGAGGTAGTTATTTCCTTTTGTCATCACCCACAATGGCTTAATCTCTTTGAAGTAGATTATCTTTAATTGCTTTTTAACAAATACTGATCGCCGTCAGCAATTAAGCTATTAATCGTACGCTTATTGATGAAAGGAAATTGAACAGATTAAACCCATGTATAAAACAACGCAGGAGGAAGCATATTGTTTATCCAAGCGTAAATGATCTGAAACCGATCGGCTCAGTGTCACAGGTACAAGACACATTCTATCGACCATGACTACAGAAATTGATCGAAATTTCCGAAATTAATCCATTTGTGACCCGTTTGTTTCGTATTTATAAAAAGAAAGTTAGTCTAATTCCGAATTTGCAAAGAATAAGGTATAATATAAATTTGGGATGCCCTACGAAACATTTCGAAGCTCACTGTCTTACCTGTCTGCGGAAGTTTCTTTATTTGAATTCGATTAGATTGTAAGATCATTGTGTAATGATTGATTTCTCTGTTATCAGCTTTAAGCTGTTTTTTGGTCGCAGCATCCCAGCAGTGTATGATTGTCGTGAGAGCCACTTTGTGGATCGGATGGAGTGGTTAATTGGTTGATTTTGGGGCATTGTACACCGACTGTGTATAAGATGTATAAAGAGACGGAGGAGAGAAATTGGGAGAGAGTGGGAGATAAAGGGTGGAGGAAGACAAGAGGAGGGAAGAGATAGAGAGAAGGTGAGAGAGGGGGACAAAAAGAGTGGAGGAGGACAAAGGAGAGGGGACGGGAGAGATAGAGAGAAGGTGAGAGAGGGAGAGAGTGGGAGAAAAAGAGTGGAGGAAGACAAGGGGAGGGAGAGATAGAGAGAAGGTGAGAGTCAGAGGGAGAGTGTGGGAGAAAAAGAGCGGAGGGAAAGTGAGCGAGTTTAGTTTTACGCCGTAATCAGCAATATTCCA